ATGCAGTTAACTTTATTGTTGTTTAAAACAGTTTGCATTACACAAGCAGCCATCTAGACACGGGGTGTCAGGTTTACTGTGGTGTCATGGACTCCAGCGCATTGCTTTCTTATTTTTTTAATTACTCTGATGCAGGACTGCACTAATCTGTAAACTCCTAGGTGGTGCTATTAATCCTTAAAATACCACAGTGTGGTGTGGCTGTCAGAATTTTAAATGTTATTTTTAAATTATTAATCCATTATTGCTTTCCTGTGCTATTCATATCGCATAACACTGAACACTGTACTAGCAACAGCTTCATCAAGTACAATATTTATGCACAACACCAAATACGATACTATATGTCACAATACTGTATAACACTAATAGAATTATCATTTTTTAATTACATACTGTATACAGAATTTTGTAATTCTGTATAAAATCATTGAGAAAACAATTTTATTTAATTTTTTTAGAAGTATCTGAATGACTTTGCTGCGTACCATCAGAATCATTGTAACTGGTACACTCTCCACTATGTTTAGATCAATACATTGAATTTATTAATATTGCAATTTCCCTTGTTATTGTTGAGGTACTGTATGCATCTGTATGAGGAATTCCTCAATAATGTATCAGCAATTGTTGTTTTGATTCGTTAATTTTTTTATTTATTTGATGTCACTCCATGAATTTCCACGTTTTCTGAGAATTTCAGTGAAACCAGACAGATTTAAAAAATGAAGGTCTGATGCAGGCTTTATTCATGGTATATTATCACCTTTTCAGAAAAAAAAACACTGTAAAGCCACATTTCAGTTTAAACAGGTAGCTTGGTATACATTTTACAGTGCTTAAGTTTATATAACATATAAATGTTAGAATTTCAAGACATGATCATTATACTAAAAAGAAAAAACATTTAAATGAAGCCACTGTTTCAGTAACATCTAATGCAATACCAGTACTGCCTTGAAATCAGACGTTTGCATACTGCAGTGTGCTTTACACTAATGAGTGCTTTAGTGGACATTCGAGATGGCTGTTTGTTGTAAATTACATATAAATCTAATTTCACGCTGACAGTAAAACACACGGCTATTGATCCGTCAGCTTCTGTTGGATAACACTCCTGTCCTGTTTTCCAGGAGACTATTTCCCTGCTCCCTCTGGATGGATGGTGGCTCTCTTCCTAACAGCAGCTGTTACTGTAGCAGCATCAGTACTTCTGGTGATCCAGTGGAGAAGAATGGACAGTATGTGCTCATTATATATACATATTCATTTGTGCAAATGTTTGTGTAGGGATGGGTTTAAAGTCCCACTATATGACAGTGTTTCAGCAACAAAGGACACCTACTCTTGATAACAGGATTCAGTGTACAGACACCATGTCCAGAACTGAAGATCCGAGGAGATCATCTTCTCAGAGTAGGCTATATTGGCAGATCTATACTGTAGGATACAGGATATATTCCTATCAGTCAGAACCAGTACCGGCCCACAACAGCTTTCCTTACAGTTACAGAACCACCCCTTCCAGGGTTAAAACACCTCTCTCTCTTCAGATGTGAGTGTTTATCCAGTGGAGGTGAGT